CACTATGACAGGCAGGGGTTAACATCCAGTGTGTGTGTTTATACGGTTAGGGTTGATTTAGTGTGTATATTTGGATATTTTCTTTTTTTTTTCAGTGTTTCAAGAAAAGGGTTTGCAGGTACTCTCTAAGAGCAAGGGTTAGTCGTGAATTCTGGTTATGTGACAGCAGAGAGAGCAGCCTTTGCCACTGGATCTGTTATGTAACACACACATACAGTGCAGGAGGGGTGAGCAAGTCTCTGTTGCCCGGCTGTCTAGAAAGACAGATGTACAGAGAGGGAAAGGACAGTCAAACTTACTGAAAAATAGTTTTTTTTTATTATTTATCTCATGAGGAGATCCTCAAAATATTTAGATTGAATCCATACTTCAGTTTTAGTGGTTGCCACAAGACATGTGGAGAAAGAAAGCTTGAGAGTACTATAATAAGTTATTATAGCCTAGCAAGTTTATTGTTCGTTAACTGTCATATTTGCTTGTGGGTTGTAGTTGGTCCACTTGCCATGATATTCTTCTCTCTATCTACCTACATATTCAGATACACACACACACTGAGGCTGGCAGGACTGAATACAAGCAGACGAACTGTTGTGGGGGCTGTACAGTGTTTGTGAATGGAGTGGGCGTCTGCCACGCGTCTCATCTCTCTCTTTCTTTCCCTCTCGCTCGTTCTCAGACCTTGCCTCCCACTGTCTCTATCACTGCCTGTCACTAAAACAAGTGTTAGTGTGGCACATTGCTCATCTCATTCCCCATGACAAAACACTGACTCACTCAACTGACTCTGCTAAAAGCTTCATGAGACACCATGTCTCTGGTATCATTGCTTTTATTATACACATTTTTTTGTTGTGTTTGTGTGTCACAAAAGGAAAGTGTATACTTGGTTTGTAGACATTCTCACCAAGTGTTCCTGAAAAAATGTAAATTCTGTCGTCATTTAATCACCCTCATTTTGATTAAAGGGATAGTTCACCCAAAAATGAAAATTTGATGTTTATCTGCTTACCCCCAGGGCATCCAAGATGTAGGTGACTTTGTTTCTTCAGTAGAACACAAACGAAGATTTTTAACTCAAACCGTTGCAGTCTGTCAGTCATATAATGGAAGTGAATAGGAATCACGGCTTTGAGAGTCAAAAAAACATACACAAACAAAACCAAATTAAACCCTGCGGCTCGTGACCATACACTGATGTGTAAAGACACGAAACGATTGGTCTGTGCAAGAAACTGAACAGTATTTATATCATTTTTTTACCTCTGATTCACCGCAATGTCCGAACTGTCCTGAGCACCCACTCGCGTCTTCTTCTTCTTCTTGCTTTATGGCAGATTGCAGACTTATAAGTGCATTACCGCCACCTATCTCTCAAATGAACCATTGACACTCTGTCTACAATCTCAATTAGGAGTGTCAAACATCACATTTTAATTTTTGGGTGAACTATCCCTTTAAATCATGTAAGAATTTCTTTCTTCTGTGGATCAAACTTTTTTTGTTTGTTTAATGAATATCAGTTATATTACACTTCTGTTCTTTTACTCAACAAAGCTGCATTTACTTGATTTTTACAATTTAGAATAATTAAAATAATAAATGTATTTTCAAATGTAATTTATTCCTGTGATGCAAAGCTGAATTACTCCAGTTTTCAGTGTCACACGATCCTTCAGAAATCATTATAATATGCTAATTTGGTGCTCAAGAAACATTTCTTATTATCAGTGTTGAAAATATTTGTGCTGCTTAATATTTTTGTGGAAGTGATACGTGATTCATTTTTTTCAGAATTCTTTGTTCAAGATAACATCATTTATTTGAAATAGAAATCTGTGGTAACATAAATAATTTTTTCAATAAAATATCCCTTGAATGTATAGAAGTTGATAATGTAGCTTTTTTAAACATATTCAAATAGAGTTAAATAGTGGAAACATTTTGCACAAGTCTGCACTCTCATCTCTGTACCCACCACCCTACTTTTTGCACGGTGAGAAAACATGCTCAAGTCTGTTTCTTTAAAAATTAGAGTTAGGTCTCCCCGCTAATTTGTTTTTAATCATTTTAGCATTTTTAATATGCAGTCATAATAATCTTCACCTTTATAACATCCTCTATAAATGTTGATGACTCTCACAGAACAGTTATAAAGATTACTGTTAGGTAACACAAAGATGTAGTAACATTTACAGCTCAGCTTCATCAGCCCGTTGTGCCACCATTGTTATGTAACCTATGAAAGAAGCTTCCTCTAGAGCACCCTTACCACTGACATTTCTCTGAAACCTCCTTCACTGATCCAAAACCTCAAAGCTGGCTGTTACATTCCCCTCACGAGGAATTAACTGAGGACCACTGCTCTAGATAAAACGTCTCTTGACCTATTACGGGCCGTTTTTGAGTTTGCTAATCTTGGTCAGAATTGGCACATTGCTACTCAGAATGAATTGAATGAATGAGAATCATTTTTCGACCCCAGTATGTCATTGGAGGCCAGAACTGTGTGACGTCTTTGTCAGTGGAACAATAAACAGTGGCTCCATTAATCTTTCATGAACTCTTTTTATGGAACGTTAGCTGACTTGGACAGCGGAGCTCAGGACGGCTTGTAATGTAGATAGCTGTATCACTTTAGCTGTATCAAAAGAATACACTGCTCTTAGTTGGCCAAGGGTTTTGCCTGTGTGTTTATTCAAGGAAATTCTTTATTGTTTCCAGGAAAGCTAATTGATTTGTGCGGCTCAGTACACTTTTAGTGCATTTACCAAGGGTAATTCAATCCACTTTTAAAGCCACAGAGGAGTTACGGTTCCCAAAATCATTTGTATTTAATTTCATATGGCCTCTTTTATTATAGTGGTGTGTTAATATTGATTCTTGTTTTCACATGCTTAAATTTATGTGACTCTGAAGCAAGGCAGTTCAGCTTGTCGAACAAATGTCTACATTCATTACGCAACAGAAATCTGTTATTGTTTTAGGGAAAAAAAGCAATCTCACATTGCTTGTTTTTGTTTGAACCTAAAAGAGAACTTGCTAGTTGTCATGGATATTAAGTTACAGTCATATGTGTTGGCACGCGGGTCTCCTAATGGTTTGTTTCAGCTGCATCCCTGAGCAGAGTTGTTTTTATTTTCTTCTTTTCTCTGCTGAGAGCTGCAGTCTTGATACTTTAAGTCAGTGTTTATGTGAGTGTTTGTGTTAACGCTGTTTGTTTCAGTATCCTGGGAAAAGCATGTGTATTAATGATGTCTGGTTTAGCTGTGTTCTCTCATACAAATCAACATTGAGTTAGCTTCAGGTGGATTCTTCTGAGACTTTCAAAAAAACAAAAAATGCGCTAGATGCACTTGTTCACATTGACTTTGAAACTCGAACACTTTGAAACACTGTACAGCCAAGTGCAGAACTGTGTTGGCTGTCTTTGTTGTTCCTTCCTCAGACAGAAATAGCTTTTTCTTTAAACTTTGAGCATTTGGTGAATGAGCAGTCAGTATTGATGACGCCATTCATTATTGTGGACGTTGATTTGAGTCACCACAGTGAATGGACCGAATTGAATGTTTTGTAACTCTTGTTATTATAATTTTTTTTATTCTTTCTAAGTTAAAGGGGTCATATGATGCAATTTCAAGTTTTCCTTTCTCTTTGGAGTGTTACAAGCTGATTGTGCACAGAAAAGATCCCTGAAGTTGCAAAGACTAAAGTCTCAAACCCAAAGAGATATTCTTTATCAAAGTTAAGACTCTGCCACGCCCCCCTAAAATGGCTCGTTCTAACACGCCCCCACATATCTACCTCACTATGTGGCAATATTAGCATAATGCGGCCCAAATGTGCACGCAAAGAAAGAAGGCGTGGTTTCAGTAACCGCAGTTAGTGTTGAAGCAGCCATGTCAGGGAGACGCTGTGTGTTTCTAGGCGAAAGCAAAAGCACTTTATTTGGCCTTCCGAAAGTAGATGCATTTAGGACTCTTTAAGATTACTTACAACAGAACAGCAATGCATTTTATGGACGACCGTTTCGTGAACCTAGGAGAGGAGGTAATTCTGACTTTGCTATGACAATCTGGCGCTTCTGAATCAGCTACTGTTTTGTTATTAGTTTAAGTATTTGCTATTGACTGTTCAAATGCGGAGTTTTGCGCATTGTGTGTGTGTGTGTGCGTGCGCGTGCATGCGAGAGAGAGAGAGAGAGCGTGAGCGAGCGAGCGAGAGAGAGAGAGAGAGCGCGAGAGAGAGCGAGAGAAAGAGGGTCACATCACAGTGGAGTCAACTGTCTTAACGTGACTTGTGTACTGCACACATACCAGCTTCATCACTGTGTCTGTCACGCGACTCTGTTCCCCTTTCGGGCTCTGTCTTTACATTTATTTTGAAAGATGAAGCTCGCAATTATGGTCAGGGGAGTTACATTTCCGACGAGTGCTTGCGGTGTTCGACCAATCACAATAGCGCGAGAGAGAGCGAGAGAAAGAGGGTCACATCACAGTGGAGTCAACTGTCTTAACGTGACTTGTGTACTGCACACATACCAGCTTCATCACTGTGTCTGTCACGCGACTCTGTTCCCCTTTCGGGCTCTGTCTTTACATTTATTTTGAAAGATGAAGCTCGCAATTATGGTCAGGGGAGTTACATTTCCGACGAGTGCTTGCGGTGTTCGGCCAATCACAATGCACTGGGTCAGCTGGCCAATCATAGCAGACTGCGCTTGTCGGAAGGAGGGACTATGTAGAAAACAAAGCGTTTGAGAGAGGCGGGGCATAGAGGACCTACAATAATGTACAGTATTTTTAAAATAATGTGTTTTTTGAACATTAAAGCATGTCAACATATTCTGTTACACCAAATACACCAAATAATGATCTTTAAAAAAGCTGACCCCTTTAAACATAAATGGAAATCTATTAGGAAAGTGAGTTTTGTCATGTTTTTCATCAATGCAATGATGATTATCATCACTGAAATTATCTCTCTTCTTCTCTGTCTTTCAGGGCCCTCTCCATGGATATAGACACAGATTATGAGCGACCTAATGTGGAGACCATAAAGTGTGTGGTGGTGGGTGATAACGCGGTGGGCAAGACCCGACTGATCTGTGCCCGTGCCTGCAATACCACCCTTACTCAGTACCAGCTGCTTGCCACCCACGTGCCAACTGTCTGGGCCATCGACCAATACCGTGTGTGCCAGGAGGTGGGCAGACCTTTGGCATATTGTGTACATGTTGAAGAGCACTGAGTGTTGACATAAATAATGTACATCTCATTTGCCAGAAGTCTGACATTGTAATGGAAAAGTTACAGTCAGATAGAAAAATACATATAAACATTACAGTGGAGTACAACCTGTTTAACGAGTGTATTTATATACTTTAGTTTATATAAATTAGTTAAAAAGAGGGGGGTATGTATTGGTATGTATTGTAAAATATAAGTAAATAAACAGACATACACACACACACACACATATATGTAATGTATACACTACAATTCAAAAGATTGGGATCAGAAAGATTTTTAATGTTTTTTAAAGAAGTCTCTTTTTCTCACCAAAGTTGCATTTATTTGATCAAAAATACAGAAAAAAAAATTATTTTATGAAATATTATTGCAATTTAAAATAACGGTTTACTATTTTAATATATTTTAAAACATAATTTATTCCTGTGATGCAAAGCTGAATTTTCAGCATCATTACTCCAGTCTTCAGTGTCACATGATCCTTCAGAAATAATTCTAATAAGCTGATTTATTATCAATGTTGGAAACAGTTTTTACTGCTTAATAATATTTCTTTTGGAACCTGTGGTACTTTTTTCAGGATTCCTCGATGAATAAAAAGTAAAAAAAGAACAGCATTAATTTAAAAAATAAATATTTTGTAATAATATACACTACTGTTCAAATGTTTGGGGTCAGTAATTGTTTTTCTTTTTTTTAAAGAAATTAATAATTTCTTTTAGCAAGGATGAATTAAATGAATAAAACGTGATGGTAACAAGTTATATTGTTAGAAAAGATTTATATTTTGAATAATGCTGTTCTTTTTAACTTTTTGTTCATCAAAGAATCCTGAAAAAAGTATCACAGGTTCCAAAAAAAATATTAAGCAGCACAACTGTTTCCAACATTAATAATAAATCAGCATATTGTTTATAAATTAGAATGATTTCTGAAGGATCATGTGACACTGAAGACTGGAGTAATGGATGATGAAAATTCAGCTTTGCAAATACATGAATAAATTATGTTTTACAGTATATTAAAATAGAAAACCGTTATTTTAAATTGTAATAATATTTCACAAGATTACTGTTTTTCTGTATTTTTATCAAATAAATGCAGCCTTTATAAGAAAAAGAATCGTCTTTAAAAAAACATCAAAAATCTTACTGATCCCAAACTTTTGAACAGCAGTGTATTTATACAGTAACACATTTTGTGAGATATATAATTTATTTGTATATGTATTTGTAAGTGTTGTGTGCAATTATACATATTAAACTCATTAAAACGAATATAAAATTAAATATACTAATAAAATATTTAAAATAAGAATTGTATTTAAAATTTTATTTACTTAGTATTACATTGCACAGTAGTATGAATATAATGTGTTTGCATTGGTGTACTGGTACAATTAAACAAAAGTGTTTTGTCTAGGTGCTGGAGAGGTCACGAGATGTGGTGGACGAGGTCAGTGTTTCCCTCAGGCTGTGGGACACATTTGGAGATCATCACAAAGATAGACGCTTCGCTTATGGCAGGTCAGTTACACAATATGGAGCTGGATTTGAACTCATAGTGTCATGGCATGTGTGTTAACCACTAGGCCATGGCACACTAAACCCCTTGATACACAAACACTTGACGTCCCACAATACAGTTCCTCAGATCAATCTTCCGTTTGTTCTGGTGTCTCTCCACTATTGGCTGTGGCATGTGTTGCCCTGCCAAGGTTTGGTTATTGCCCTGATCCTCCCAGCTGTGAAGGTAATGTGCTTTAAGCCTAGCCGAAGAGCACTGCGTGGAGGCTTTTATTCTCAGCGCAGCGGAGGATCAGTGGATCAGCAGTGGTGCTTTGGCTCAGGCCAGTGCAGCAGATCACAGTAGCCGCTGAGCCAAAAAGGGAGATGGGGTCAGAGAATGAGGGAGATTGACACTGTTCCTAAATTCTTACAGTGCTTCCCAGAAGTATTTGGACATCTAAGTCACACTTCAAATATAGGAATCTCGTTGCATTAAATGCACAATATCAAATGACATGGCATCTGCAAACAAATTATGCTATATCTGATGCAATTAGAGTAATTTTTAAATACTTTTTAGTAGAGATGCACAAGTATCGGTATCGAGCCCAATACTGAGCTCCTGTACTCGTATTCGTACTCGTTAAAATGCCCCGATACCAAACGCTGATACCACACAGCATGTGATAAGTGCCATATTCAGACAAAGAAACCCTGACAACAGACAGCAGAATGGAGTTATTAGAGATTAAGGATGTCTACGAAGTATATGTATGCAATGAATATAAAACATTCAGTATTAATGCCTGTATAGCTGATTTGCGCCAGCTGGTAGGCAAAGCATGCTGAGTGGATTGAGCGTGCGGCGGCGCAGATGTGCGAGCTTGTCGAGTGAATATCCCTTTCTCACAGACATCACTGGAAAGTTTGTAGTTCGGTCGGATATGTCAAAAAGAAGTAAGTAAAACAATGCACAAGTTACTTAATGGTAGGGAGGGAGGGAGGGAGAGAGAGAGAGAGTGCGCGCACTTCTGTTGTGTGATCTTTATTGATGTTTGCTCACTTAGCATGCATCATTTGGATTAAAACTAAATCGTAAATATAAGACAATTTATAGGGGCATTCATTATACATACTCTTTTGGTTTCTGTATCCAATGTTTAAAAAATTTACAAATGCAATGAAAATATTGGTATCGGTACTCGGTATCGGCAAGTACCAAAAATAAAAGTATCGTATCGGGCGAGTACTGGAAAAAGTGTATCGGTGCATCCCTACTTTTTAGCAGATGTATGAGATTCCCTCAAATACATTTTTCTTAATCATAAGTGTTTTTCAGTAAATGCTATTAACCTGTGGCATTTTGTGTTACCAGCTCAGATCTTTGACCACACAAAATACCCACACATCAGATAAACTACCATTTAAAGGTTTGCGTAAAATGTCTTAATGTTTTTGAAAAAAGCAGCCATTGCTCCATTCTTCAGTGTCACATGATCTTTCAGAAATCATTCTAATATGCTGATTTGCTAATTTTTATTATGATCATTGTTAAAAACAGTTGTGCTGTTTTACATATTTGTGGTTTGATGAACTTTTGATGAATAAAAAGTTTAAAAGCACAGCATTTATTTGATATAGAAATCTTTTGTATAATGTCTTTACTGTCACTTTTGATCAATTTATTGCATCCTTGCTGAATAAAAGTATTCATTTCAATCTTACTGACACCAAACTTTTGAACAGCAGTGTACTTGGTAGACTAAGAGGTCCTGACAACTAAGGTTTTGATTATATAATTCATCCAATAATTTAACAATGTAATAGCATTGTGAATTTGGTGTGTTTGTAGTATGTACTTGTGTGGCAGACAGAGAGAAAGAGAGCGGAAGACAGAGAAATCTGTGTGAATGAATCCACAGGATGTGTGTCTGTGAGATCAGACAAGTCCAGTGTGTGTGCACAGTACTGAGGCAGATGCAGTCAGCTGATAAAGCACTATTAATGGTGGTGCCCTGTTATGGAAACACAAAATCGGGTGACCTTCACCCCTGGTGTCTATTACTTAAGCTAAATACACACCCACACAGACACATTTAACGTTTCTTGAAAATGTTCATCAAAGCCTAGCTGAGGCCATTAATTATTTGTGAACGGGAATTGACAAAACACATTGTGAAACTTATTTAGAAATCCCTGGAGGAACCATGACTCAGCGGGGAAGCCCTGCTCCCATGGGCTAACACATATTTATACATAAATATATGCATTATGCATGCATATATACAAAAAGGTCATTTTGAACAGATTGGTAAATCAGTGGTAAATTACCGTGTTATACCATCAGTGTACTATGCTTTTTGTCTTCTTTGTTGTTCTCAGAATGTTTAGACTTATTTATATATTTAAATATGTGTCTGTGATCAAGACACTGTTTACACTAGTGTAGTCAAGCAGACACGCAGTCAGGAGTTTGAACTTAGACATGCTCTACATATCTCTACAGAACACCACACGCACTGATTACATAACACAGTCCTTTATGACCCTCAGCACTCGCTTCTACAGCACAAGTGGTTATTATTCACTGAGAGATGGTGAATGGTTGTGGATAGATTTGCAAATGTGTTAGTCTGTGTTTTGTTATTTTATTTGCCTTAACTCTGACCCATTTCCACATATTCTTGCAAACATTCCTATTCCCACATACACACACCAGCAGAAACACAGACACTGGGATGTCGACTTTGACCCCTGGAGACTGTAGGTTTATTTGCACATATACTTTAGTGTGTCTTAGTTTAGTAAAGAGACTTAAGGCCCATTCACATTAAGCATGATAACTATAACAATAAAGATATCGTTTTAAAAATGGTTCTGAGAATAGCAGAGTCCACATCACAACTAGAGGAACGATATCATTGGAATCGCTTTCATAATGTTTTCAAAAACATGGGAATGGGCAAATATGGGCAATCCTATTGCAATGCTAACATTACCATACATGGAAAAAATCAAATATTTCCAAAGGAAGTAAACATGTTATAATGGTCCACTTTGGTAATTGTATGTTTTCAGGAAATTCCTTTGTTTAATCATCACACATGAGGTGTTTGCCAATAATAAAACAATTTTTTCGAGAAAGTACCTCTAGATTTTCACTTTATTTGTCAATAAGTATTTTCTAGAAAGATTATAACTTTAGAAAATATCTTAGAAATGTTGTCTGAGAAACATTGGCTGTCATATTATATCTATAAACATGCACATGAGCACCATGTAAATGCATAACTGTGATAAAATCTGCTAGACCAAGTCTGTTTACATTTCAACAACAATGCGGTGCTCCATTAGTCATTCTTGTGTTTGCTGGTCTCACATGATGAGCTTGTGAGTGCAGCTGTGAAATATGACATGCTCGGACATCTCGCTATTATACGACCAGCGCTGGTTATTGAGTCAGACGAGATGCTTTAATGACTTGCACAACCTTATATGCTCACACATTCACTGGAAGAGCACACATGCATTAATACACACACAATCTAACAATCATTAATATATTTGGCTGCTCGCTCACTCACTGTTTCTTTATGAAGTTTGTTCATGCCTCTGGGAAAATGGTCTTAGCACGGTTTTCATTTCACGAAAGACTGATTATGATTATTTGTTGCATTTCACAGTTTTTATTCCAAAAACAGTGATTCACTGTCCACTCTGTGTAGGATGATTAGTGTCCAGGGTTTGCCAATTTCCTGCCTATTACATGATTTCTTCGGATGTATTCTCTTAAAATAAACCGATTTCTTTCTCTTTGTGTGTTTAGATCAGATGTGGTAGTGCTGTGCTTCTCTTTGGCCAATCCGAACTCCCTGCGCCATGTTCGTACCATGTGGTTCCCTGAGATCAAGCACTTCTGCCCCCGCACCCCGATCATCCTGGTGGGCTGCCAGCTGGACCTGCGCTATGCTGATCTGGACGCTGTTAACAGGGCTCGCCGGCCTCTGGCCAAGTACGGACCACATCCTACACCCACTCGTAGCACATATTCTGTTATTAAACTTCAGCATGAAAAGTTTTCAGGGGCTTCCGTTTTGCGAGGGTTATTGTATTGTTATTGTGCTTTTACGTTTGTAGTCAGTTTTGCAAATGTAATTTATTTTAGCTGTTAGAAATTTTCTGTGTTTATTGTTAATAATGGATTTGAGGACATAGTAATTCATTTAGGTTTATATGTGAACAAACATTTTTATTTTGAAGTGAAAAGTTCAAGATAGACCCTCAGAATTGGGACAAAAGTCTCCCAGCGGCATGTTGCTGCTGCTGTTTGTATAGTTTGTTAAATAATTATTGAAATTCATGGCAGTATTTGTAATTAGTTATTCTTTCTGTTTTAAACATCTTTGCTATTCCTCATAACTTAGGCCGATCTAAATTCATAGTCTGTTGAAGCATCCCTTTAATTAAAAATATTGGCCCTAATATCATTCAACATATATCTATAAATCAGTTTTGTAATAGTTTAGATTGACAAAATGGATACATTTACATAGAATAGAAATCTGATTATGTATTATAAATAACTTTTTTTTTAAATCTAGAAAATGAAAAAGAATCAGATATATTTTACACCATCGTTCAAGTTTAGGGTCAGTAAGAATTAATTTTTTTGATACTTTTAAAATATGAATACTTTTATTCAGCAAGGATGCATTAAATCAAAACTGATTAAATGAACTGATCTGTGTCTGAAAAGTGACAGTAAAGACTTTTATAATGTTACAAAAGATTTCTATCTACAATAAATAAACTTTCAAAAAATCCTAAAACAATGTATTACAGTTTCAACAAATATATTAAGCAGAAAAACGTTTTTTTTTTTACACTTATAATAGAGAACAGATAATAAGAAGAAA